AAAAGAATTTGCCTTTTCTCCTCACCAGAACTAAAAACTAAAATAAAAATATATTTCTGCATATATATATTTCCATTAATTTAACTTTACTTAAGACCGTGACAGCTTCCCAGGATGCTAGGTGTCTAGAAGAGTCTTTCACAGAGGGTACAGGGTACTTTCCAGTTTAGATGTTAGTGAAATGAGCTTGCTTTTGGCATTCAGTCAACACATCCTGATACATCATAAATTAAAAGCTGCAAGCTACGTCCTGTGATCACTAGGTGCTGCTCACAAAGTTCAAGGTGCTGCGATCTTAACTGGGATGACAGAACCTCCCTGGAGGGAGGCTGCCCTGCCTGGCTCAGGAGCCAGGGATAAGCAGCTATTCCAGCACAGATCAACTCAGAGAGTCCAGGGGCTGTGAACAGATCCCGGGATAATGTCCTTCATCTCGTCACATCAAACAGTTCCCAGGCTCACTGCACCTGGGCTGATTGAACAGGTCTTTTCTGGTCCTAACAGAACTAGTTTTTCCAGCCTGCTGATAGAAGAGTTCTGAAAAAGTAATAACAACAACAAAAAACCCCCAATGAACACTAAAAGTTAGTATCCCCATTTTTAACTTCTTGCATTTAAAAAACACTTTTTTTGATTCATATATATAGTATAGTTCTTGACTCATATATGTCATGCAGTCCATACTGTCCTTGAGTTTGACTATTGTTGCGGTGAGGACTGAAGCCTCTGAAGAAGGTTGTCAGTTGTGGGAATGACACAGAGAATTCTCCTGGTTGTGCTTTACTGGGGGAAATTCATCTGCTGGGCCTGGTGACCCACCAAAGCAGGGGGAAGTTCAGCCTTCCCTGCAAAACAAGTATTTTGGGTGTTGTGGGCCAGGCAGCCTCATGAGAACAGCCATACTGCAGATCAAGGGCAAGGGGCCGTCTTGGAGAAGGTGGGGACAGGGAGCAGAAAAAAACGGCCTGTTGTTTTTGCCATGATGGAAGTTCAGGTTTATGAAACTGAGGACAAGCTTAGAACCTCTCTTTGTTTGGATCTGAGGAAAAAGCAAGCATACTAGAAGTGAGCAGTCTTAGGGGAGGGTGCAAGAACGGGGCTTTTGCCATCACAGTGAGTAAAAAGAGCTGCCTCAGTAAGTTTTTTTTTTTTTTTTAATGAAGCAGTGAGAACTTGTGTCACACTGTCCTTAAATGGTCTGGAACATAGGCGCTTTTTTTTTTTTTTCCTAAGTGTACTTTTACATTGATCCAATCTGATTTGTGCCCTCTTACAGACACTTCATTTCATTCTCTAGCTGCCTTCTGAGAAAACTGGGTAGCAAATATACACCCTTAATAAGCAAGAAAGGTGCGAAGCCTCTGTTTCACTTAAGCTGATACTTGGGTACCTTTTTAGGCAATTAGTGAATAATGATTGTTACATCATGAAACAAGTAAACAAAGCAAAGCCAAACAAACAGACGGGTTATTGTAGGAATAGTATTAGAACAGAAGAGGGAAATAGATTACGCTGAAAAGGAATTACTACCGGTGCTTTGGAGAGGCCTCTTATTTAATTTCGTTAATGACAGGACAAAAGCAAGCATGAACTAATTAAATTTGAATATATATTTGAAACTGGTGCAAATTTGGCAGCAACATCAAACAATGAATCAGAATCTTACGTTGGAACAGTTTAGTACCATGAGGTCTGCAGAAACAGAAATAGTACTAAATAAGTGTTAAATCATGTATTAGAGAACTAAGTTATTTTGCTGAAAGCAAGGCCCCCTTCTTGTAAAAAAAAAAAAAAGACACAGGAAAAAGAGTTGGTAGCAGCTTCTATTTACTAGAGTCGCAAACAATAAAATAGTAACAGAGCTGCTACTGTGATCCTTTGTGATAAAGTGTCCACTAGTAACAGGAGGGAAATTTCAAGTGTTTAAATTTCCTCAGTCTGAACACATACAATTTCTGCATTGTTTTTCTGGAATCACGAAGTGGAACAGAACAGATGCTTCTGTTTCCAGAAGAGACTAAGGACGTGCCTCTGCCAAACAACATAACCCGGTGCAAAAATCCCAGATTGTTGAGCAAATTGAAGCCCAAATCGCAGAGCCCTTTGAAGCTCAGGCAGGACTTGTGCCTGTTTGCTATGGGCTTGCAGATGTCACTAGACAGAAAAGGGAGGAAGGCAGATGCAGAGAAGACTCTCCCCTTCCCCGGTGCTGGGTTTCTGGGCAGTTATCCCCAGTGAAGCCACCCCGGTGTGAGGGCAGGACCCTGCGCAGCTTGGAGGGCCCCGTCCCAGCTCCTCCCTCCGCAGGAAGCGCCAGCGCAGGCCGGTCCTTCAGCGCTGGGCACTGCTGGGCTCCCCAGCTCCCTGCCCCGAGCCAGGAGACCTCAGAGCGATTGCTAGAAACAGCCATCAGTTGAAACACAGGAGTACGTGGCCAAGGTTTTCCTTGCAAGTATGAAAGGTGTGGATAAACACAGGAGTACGTGGCCAAGGTGAGGCACGTTTCTTCTTTTCCTTGCAAGTATGAAAGGTGTGGAGCGAAGTTTGCATGGTCAGACCCATCATCAAAGACATATTTTTGCCAAAGAACAACCTTGGGAGCCTTTTTTGGCTTTTCCTTAGCTCAGACTTTGAAGCTGTGATAGGTGGAATACTACTGGATTTTATTTCTTAGACAAGAGAGCAAATGAATATTGTCTTCAGAAAATGGAAGTGCCTACACAAAAAGCTTAAGCAAAGATGCTCTGGGAAAAGAGCATCCCAGATGGTCTGGGAAAAATTAAACAAAAAATTAAAAAAGGAGTTAAAAGAAAGACTTTCACCACACTGCAGATAGCACTAAATAAAGAAATAGCTTCAAACTATCAGTCCTGGGCATGTATACAGAAAGAAAGGGGCTAAGAGGCATTGCTGCTAAAAGGCACAACTGTGACTAGAAAATTCAGCAACTACAAATCAAGATTGTTCAGAGGAATCTCTTCAAATAGCCTTCTTCATATTTCAAACAATTGCATTATCAAGGCCAAGTTCAATTTGTTGCAAAGGCTGAACACATCTCCAAGGAGCTGCTTTAAAAGTATAGGGAGTTTTCAGAGGTGCAGCTTATATGCTGCAGACAGCTGAGTAAACTGTTCTGAAGGCTTAAAATGAAAACAGAAACAAACACATACCTTTTCCCTCAACTTTTGAATTAAAAAGAACACCCTCTGATTTACAGGTTTCCAGAAGATATAGTATGTGCCTTAGACTGGATTATCTTGAAAACAGAAGAAAAACGCATGAATTTAATACATTGGCAAGACTTACATAGTTTTGCAATGAGCACAGAGAATAAAACCTAAAATTTATACTGTTGTAGGCCTGCCACAAAGGCCTAAGGAGAGAGCACTGACTGACCTGGCCTCAAGAAATCCTGAGAATGTCGTTACTTCTGTTGCAGAAAGCCAACAAATTTCATCATGTCACAGCAGCTACTAGAGACCTGGACTAAAACTGAAGCTGAGTTTTACCAGCTTCACTGCGAGCACAGAACTATTTCCACTCTAGAGAATCACTCAAGCGCCTGCCAATAGGAGGTCAGTAGTTTATTCCTAGCAATATCTTCTCCCAGTTTCTTCAGAAGAAATCTGCATTTTTGTCAGGTTAAGTAACCTTGATATCTTTCAGGCTCTGGGACATTGGGTCTGACACAAATGTTCTGTAACAAGTGACCACTGAAAGAGCAGCGTAATGCACTGAAGAAGAACAAGACAATAATAAATTCTCTTCCATTTAATATGAACAAATATAAAGAATGAGAAGCAAAGGAAGTGATTTACATATTCATTAACTAATTTGTATAATTAGAAGATTTAAAAGGTCATTACTGGAACACCTGCCTGTTAACAGATGTAGAAGAGCGAAGGCCAAAGAACACAGTCTTTATAAAGATGTTGAGAGATAAACATTTGGCAGAACCACGGCTACCTGCTGTGGCAGCAGTATTTTCTTGGCTCACATCACCACTGTGGATAATGCAAGTCTTCTGGAATTCACTTACCCATCTACATTGCAACAGCAAAATTGCTAAGCTGACAATTGTTTATAAAGGTTATGATTGTTTTTAAAAACAGGCATTCCAACTAAATAAGCTTTTATCCAGATAGGGAAGCTGGGAAGCTTTACGCTAAATGCATATTTAGCCTTAGCACAAAGGCAGTTGATTCCACTTGTGCAGAGATACTAGAGAAACAGACAAAAATACGGCATTATGAGCTCAGACATTTAATTTATAAAGGCCTTAGTTAAGGCAAAATTATTTGCAATCAACATTCTGTTCCTCATCTTAGGAAAGCATCTAGTTGCATTAACAAAGTCAAATAAAGGCCTATATGTCTGCACCATTGGTCTTAATTTACAAAAATAGCAAAATACAAAACATTTAACATTTCTGTCCTTATCTAATATATATTTAATACCTAGGGCACTTCCACTCCAGTATACTTATAATAAAATCACATTTAATACAGTTTGGGAGGAAGCCCAGGAGCTAATCTGGTCCAACCCCCAGCCCAGGCAGGGCTATCATCAAAATTAGATCAGGGTAGTGGTCAGGGCCTTGCTTAGGCAAGTTCAGGTTCTGCACAGTTCCAAGGAGGGATGTTCCCCAGCCACCTGGTCCAATTTGGTCTCCAGTTTTGATTCAGTCTCCTCAGGAATAAATTTTTCTTTGTTGTCCGCCAGGAATGTGGAGAGCAGGTTCTTGCTGAAGAATCTCCCAGGAAGCAGCCCTCGGCCTATGCTGCTGTAAAGGATTATTGCACTCCAGGTGGAGGACGTTGCATGTGGCTTTGCTCGTTGAACTTCATGGGATTTATCTGCAGCCTGTCAAGATCCCTCTGAATGGCAACGTAACCTCCCTTCAGCTTATCAGCCACTGCTGCCAACATGCCTGAGGCTGCACCCCAGTGCCCAGGTTTAGAATGATGATGATGATGAACAGTGTCAGCCATGGTACCTACCCTGAGGAAGGCCACCAGGACCACGAGGAGCAGCTGGGGCACGCAGCAGCCTCGCTCTCCACGCCTGCTGTCCAGCCTGTTTTCCACCCATCCAGGCTCTCATTCTGCCGTTTAACAATTTAACAGCATCGTAGGAGCCTGTGTCAAAAGCCTTGCTAAGAACAAGAAAAATTGAATCCATTGCTCTCTCTGCTCACAAACAGAAGGCACTTAAGTTGATCAGGCAGAATGGTCCTTGCTGAACTCCTCATCACCGTGTATTTCTTCCTATGTCAGGAAATATTTTCCAAAATCTCCAAGAATATGCTTTGTACTTGTAACCCCAGGGACTGAGGTTATGCACTTCCTCCTCTCAAAGTATTTGACAAAATATAATTATTATTTAATAAAAAACATATCCAGAGATAATGATTTTACTCAGTTCCAAATGTGAAAATACTATACAGAATATCCCCTCTAAAAATGTTTCAAAATCTTTACTATTACATTATTTCTATATACATTTTTATACATTTTGCTTACTTTAAATGTACAAGGTAAAAAATATAAATGTGAAGCGTTAATATTTTTACAAGATAATCTTTTGGTTTCGAAACCAATACATCTTCCTTCCTTTAATTTTCATGACAACAGCTTCTATACGGTCAAGGATTCAAAAGTTCATCCAGAAATTTCAGAGATGATTCGTACAGGGTTCTGAAACTGCACAAAACAATAAACAAGAAAATTAAACGTTTACTAAATCATTCTTTGAATAGGCAGCTCTCGGAATATAGTTACTCCCGGTTTCTTTGATAAATTATTCTGTATCAGCTTAAGGATTAAATACATTTCTAAAATATTACTTTTGAAATACCATTTTTCCTCCCTCAATTTTTTCATGTTTCTGCTGGCCATCTCTAGCTCTAGTGTCAACTACAACAATCTAGTCTCAATTACTATTTCATTTAAAGCACATTTGATTTTTTAATATTTAATCATATGCCTATTAATAGAACCACTCGTTTTCTTCACAGCATTTTTCCTTTTAAATAGAACATTCCTTCACTTTTTCTTCTCTTCTCTCTCATTCTCTGGTCTTCACAATTTTTCTCCTCATCTCTACTATTCTCTTGCCAGCTCCAAACTTTCTATCTTACCCTTATTTGTTAGTGCTTCATTCAGCTGCTTGAAAGCCCAGCCACGTTGTGAGACTTTTTCTCTCACTGCTTCCTAACCAGTGTCAAAGGGCAGCTCTGAAGTCTCTGTTCTGGAGCCCCATTTCACCTCCTTGCACTCCCTGAGCCACCCCCTTTCCCGATCTCTGCAGCCCCCCTTCTCACACAGCTCAGAGCTGGTCTAGGACACCCCCAACAGACAAGACTGGTGACTTTGGACTTCTGCCAAATCACCATTTCGGGGTTAACTGCTGCAGACTTTATTCTTCATTTGCAATCCATCTATATCCCATGCAGTATTTCTTCATATCTGTATTACTAAAGTGCTCTAAGGACGCCCCAAATAACCAAGGTTAGTCAGTCATGAGTTGCTGGGGCACTTGCTCATCAGGAGCCGATAGGATGAACTCCCCAAGACCTGAAATACAGCTCGGCATTTTATGAACAGAATATTAGGCACCAGCTCTCCTGGAACTGAGACTACCACGTTTGTGCCTCCTGACTCTTCTAATAGAAGGTCCTTCAAACCATGGCAGGACGCAGTTGGCCTAATACAGCTTGATAAGTGCTGTGGGCCTAGTCACAGTGCTATTTTGTATAGTTTTTGTAGCCGTTTAAGGCTACTTAAAATAATCAGTGTCCAAAGTTGCACCATGTACCAGCAGCACGCTGAACAACAGGCTCTCATTCAGAGCAGCTGTAAGCCTCTCAAACAGAAACGTAAGTCAGTTTAACTAGGTCCTTAACAGTTAACTTTTGGGTAGATGGCAGAAAGATCATGCACAAAGATACATTAAAAAAAAAGTTATTTAAAAGAATCGTTATTTACAGATGCAATGAGGTAAATAAAGGGTTTGGGAGGTCTGCTGAAGGTCAGGTCAGCTGATAATGCTGAAGTATCTGTAAGCACAGCCATTAGCTAAATTTAAATTCTGCTGCCCATATATTGAAATGCTGATTAAACAATGTAAATGCAGAATATTAAGAAAAATGTATGACTGCATAGAATATTTGCTGCATGGAGCATGATGTATTTTTCCTTAGCCCCTAAAGCACTGCATTCAAGTCCTTTTTTTTTTCCCCCCTTCTCCTAGAAATAATATTAGCATTTTATGAACTGAATTAATGGGCATGCCATTACTCTTGAGAAATTCTCTCACTATCCAATATGTTGTCCAGGATTTTAAAAGTGCACCAAACAGCACTTTTTAAAGAAGAGACCCACAGGGCTACCTTAAACTGCTAACTCAGCTGCAGAGGGAAGACTCCACTGTAAGGAAAAGTTTTGCTTCTGAATTAGTGCAAGAACTCCCTGTTTAAGGGCAACGCTTGAAGTACTCCACCAGACAGGAGTTTTACTCTGCTAGTATATAATAGATGATCTCCAGGTCTCAGCTTAAGATGGTAGCAAAAAATGTCAACTCTTGGGGGAAATTACAGAGCCTCATTATTTCTTTGTTTACAAAGGTATTAGATAAAGATAATTCTTCCAAGTGTTATTATGAGAGAGCATATTAGGAAGCAAAGAGTAATACTACTATTAAGTATGAACTAAGAAAAAAAGCTACTACCACCAGATTTTGCTAGTTTATAAGTAGGAAAAGACAATGATAAAATAGTTCTCAAGCAACAGAGCACATTTCAGGCTGTGCATAATCACATTTAGTTATATATCAGCACTAAAAATGGCAAGTCAGAAAACACTAGTGGCCTGGGCCAAATTGCACCTCTCTGCGAAGCTACACACACCGCACAGATTAAGAGAAACCTAACTACCGAGGAACTTCTTATACCTTTTTTGGCATGATTTTTTTTTTTTTATTGTTCTAGAGAGACATGGGGGGAAAAAAAAGAACATTGCTGCAGATGTAAGAATAAGAAATGGTGAACCGATGACTTGCTTTGTTCTATAGATGCTTCTAACTGGATTTCAGAGTACTGCAATAACAGGATAAGTCATAAGATTCAAATTGAATGCAGAAAAAAATACTAAATATGTAAAGATTACAATCAGAACAGCTGACATACGGGGAGGAAATTTAATCCTGTGCTGGACTCAGTATCTCATGAGACTTTTTCCCCCACATTTTAAACCTCGCAGCCATCCAGAATGCTCTAATCAAATTGCTTAAGTCATTTGTTGCAGAGAGGGGCGAGGAGAGGTCAGTGTTCATTTCCTATAGCACATTTATTTACCTTTCAGTGCAGATAGATTCTTCTGTGGCAGCTTCCTTGCATGTTATCAGCCTCCTCCGAATGGCAGGTGCAACATCCTTGAGAAGCGAAGTTTTGTGCTTACCTATGTGAAAGGGCATTATGTTGAAAGCTTGGAAAATAATGATTTAGCAATAAAAACAAACCTGCATATTTTCATAGAACATCGTTTTATCAAAAGACATTCTTTAATAAGAGGCTATACATTAATTTAGATTTTCACTGCCCTAGGTTAAGGAAGCAGCTTATGCTTTCGAAATTCTGCAAATTCTGCAGGCCACAGTAAACAGATAAGCCTTACTAGCTTAATAAATGGTTTTATTTTTAAACTCTATACACAAAGATGAAGAGTTCAAAGCGTAGCAGCATCATTTAAAAGTAATAGGACTTTAAATCCTGAAGAAAAATGATAACTTAACAGTTAATGATGAAAATGGTCTCCTAAATTTTATATGAACTTGATTTTTAAAATGTAGCACACCAAAACAAACTTTTACTGTACAAAAATATTTTGACTGACCTTTAATTAAAATAACAATGCAGACAGTCGCTGAAAGACTAAAAATCCCTTTGATTTCTTCAGAAATAATGCACTCCATTAATTCATTTAAAAACGATCTATAAAAGAAAATAAAGCACAGATAGTTTGTAAAAGATTCTTTTTTCAAAACAGAACAGATCTTTATGATTACAACAACTGGTGACTGTGCTACTCTGCCACCACCAGCTTCAGAAGATACCACGTGGGACAAGGCAGGATTTATTGGGTGACAGTAAATTACTTGGCTTCCTCTGAACTACCAGGACCGTAGAGTTGGCAGAATGGTAAATTGCTTGGGAGCAGAATCAAAGTGTTTGTACACAGAAGAGGGAGCAGTAATCAGAAATGAAAAACTCACAGGATATTTTAGGAAAGTCAATTTGTGAAAAAACTACTGGTTCCATAGTTATACAGAGATTTATTAACTCAACTTGCATCAGTGTGTAGTTTAATACTATTTAGTTCCATTGAAGAACACTTTAAATTTATTAATTTGTAATGAGACTTATTACAGGATCTGCGCAGCCACATTGTTTTATGGCAAAAGATTAAAAATAAGAATATTTCAGAACAACTTGTTCTTTCCAAATACATATATGTGAGAGAAACATTTTGTTTCAGACACTGATAGTTTCCCACTGAAGGGCAGTGAAGGACACAGGAAGCCAGATAATGTCAAGTCCCTCAGGATTATGATGAGAAAGGGAGCAAAGATTCAATGCTACAGTTTGTCTAAATTTTAACTCAAAACAGACTGCAGAACCTGATGCAATATCAGGTTTTGCAGTTTAGAAGCTTCTATCAGAAACTTCAGAGTCAAGAACTCTGGCATTGCTATGGAAAACAGCAATAATGCCACTGATTTCTGAGATATTTATAAGATGTTGATCTAACTAGAATTTTTGATTTTGGCCTATTATTATAAATAAAAAAAAAAAATCCTTAAAGCAATTTCAGTCCTGAGGCAGCACTGGATCCAGGTATGTATTATAATATAATGATGATTATAATATAATGATGATAATGATGATCTTTGCATCAAAAAGGAAGATACAAGAGGTATGTTTCTTACAGTACTCATGGAAACAATCTGGCATAAACCAGCAGTTTTCTCCTTCAAGAATGCACAAGACTCTTCTTGACCACTACAAGAAGCTTCAGAGAATTCACTGACTTTCTGTTCAAAAGAGCAGCCCAAAGAAACACCTTGACAGGCAGAACATGCATGGAGAGCTGACCGACAGAAAAGCAGCATTCAGGTTAGGAGACCTACTGAAAGACGCAGCTTCCGGAGCCTTGTCCTGCAGGAAGACCTCAAGAACTGAAGTCTGGCTGCATCGGCTAGAATTAGAAAACTATTTGGGAAAAAAGACCCACAAAATAATCTTGAGACAGCAGAGACAGGAATGATTTCTGCCTGCCAGACAAGTTAAGAAAAGGAGTTAGGCCAAGTCATGGACAACCTAGGGCTTTTAAGGCATTAGCCCTTTGATCATTCGAAATTCTGGTAGAGGAATGATCATGCAAAGTAAAATGGGATACAAACACCTGTCACAGTTTTAACATACATTCATAAGGGTACTAAATTTAGAGAAACCTAACAAACAGTTTAGGAAAAAAAAGGCACTTAATCCTACTATGGATAAATGTCTGAGATATATTTTGAGGTTTGTGATTTGTATACAGCCATTAGTACAACTGTCACTCTATTACAGATATTCAGGTTAAAGAATTAATGCTATTTTTGGTAAATATTCTGTCATCTGAATGCCTCTATATTGAAAGGCCTTATGTGTATATGTATCTTATAACAGAAGCAATCCAAGAAGCGTGTTTAAAGAAATCAAGATGAACAATCTGGTAAATAATGAGCACTTTCAGATGAAGCTAAGAAACAAACCAGCAGTGCATCCATTCCCCCAAATGAAGATTTACAAGCAATATATCAAGAGAAAGGCACTAGCAGTCCCTGAAGTACCTGAAGGTGAATTTAGTAAGCTACTGAGAGTATCTAGTTTATTCTTTAATTTAGAAATTAAGTTTTTCTTGACAACATAAGCCAGTCCATATTATTAACAATCTTGCAGAAATTAATGGAGAAGCACTTACCTGACAACATCAACTGACTTCATAATTATGACCATTAAGCTGTTGGAGAGGGGAGGGAATTCTGAAATAGTCCTTGGCATATTCACATTTCCTTCGCTGGAAGCCTGAAAACCCCCAAAGTCAACAACTCATGTAAATTAAGAAATATGTGGATACAGAAAACATTAAATGAAATCTAAATTTCAGTAATTACACATGGTCACATGTATTTTCCTAATACGCTTAATCTAATTGTGCGGTGTCAAAACAAGCAAAACCAATTTAAGTTAGGAAGGCTAAAGCTAGAATAAATAGTATATATCTCAAAAGAAATATTCCCCACAGTTCTGGATGAAAGTCTCATTTAATTAATTGTTGGTTGCAATAAATGAACGCACAGCCTATTCAACAGAAATGAGTAGCCTTTCTGTCTGCAAGCTTACATACGCACACATAGTTTCTAAAAATACTTTAGATAACAGTGATTTCCTGATTCCCTGTGTTAGCTCTTTTTGGTAGTGAAGTCCTGAGTTTGACAACTATTCAGCAAATATTGAGCTAGAAATGATGCTTAGATTCAATAACAACCTAAGGGCAAGGAAAAACCCAGCTCAGAGGAGTAACCCACTACAGGGTTTGCTAATGCAGACAAAGCTCTGTTGTCATTTTGGTTGCCCATGCAATGCAGAAGCTTTACAGCATCTCTGTGGTACTCTCCTTTCTGGCAACTGACTGCTGCTCTATTTCTGGCATATTTGCAGCCACAGTTAAGAGCGGACCCTCTGCTCCTACTTGTTAATTCTCAAAGCTTCCAATCTTATGAGCCATATTTGCTCCCAATAGTGCATGTATTAGGAAAAGGCATTTCAAATGTTACCCTCTTCCTTCAAGGATAGCAACGGTCCCTTGGACTGCTTGGGACTTGAAGCATATAGAATAACCTTTTCCTACATATTCTTCTTGATATTAGAGCTTCTTCTTCACTTTCCAAAGAAACTCTGCTCAGATGGTCAGAATTCCACTAATACCACAGACAGAGAGACCAAAAAGACCAAAGCAGTATTAGAGATAAGTCTGTACTGAAGAAAATGCAGAAGCGATCAGTGCTAAGCAGGACACTGCTTGGGACTAGCATTACAAAAAGCTACTTCTAATAAAACCTTGCAAGACAGTCCCAAGAATACAGAGGACCCTCAAAAGGTCTTTCTGAGGCCAAGTATTCATTGCCCAGGATCTTAAAGTGCCCCAATGATGGGTGATGTAAGGGGAGGAAAAAAAATGCCAAATCTTCCAACAAAAACCCGATAGTTGAACTTGCTTGAGTATATTTAAGATATTTCAGCAAAATGTTCTCTCTAAAGATGGTTTGAACACCAGGAGGCAAGATATGTATTTAATTAATACAAACCCTAACACCTATAGATGTTCAACATTGTGAAAATATTTTATAGCACTTACAAGAGTGCTTAATTTGATTTTTTTTTCTAGCTGTCATTTGGGTTAGAGAGTATAGCCACAAGGACAGTTCTGGTGTTCTTAGATTTACTCATGCAGCAATGTAAGAGATGCATTTTAATAAAAAATTATGGGATATAAAATTTCTTATTTGTTTCATGACAAAAAATTTATCTGCAGTAAAGAAATAATAAACCACATGACACTTGGTGAACATAGCTCCTGTATTTCCAATAACATATTTCTAAAATACTGTTAAAACACAAAGGTAACAAACAAAAAGAAAAGTTAGCATTAATGTTACCTTCTCCAGTGCATGATTTATCTCTGCTACTACTGCAGCTAGCAGGGTTGAGACTACACCCTTGTGAACTGCTGTGCAACTTGAATGCCAGCATTGGACTGTGTGTAGGAACTCCCAAAGAGGCATTTGAAGAGAGTGAATCAACTAAAACCAAAGAAAGACAGATCAGCAATTTGAGATTGTTGGAATGTAATTAAAATAATTCAGCAAGCTATTATTGGAGGAGGTACAAATCACACTTTGAAAGCTCTTGTTCTATTTTAGTCACTTACGGTATGAGGAGGAAATCAGTAGCACATGTCAACAGCCATAAGTTTGAGGAACACAAAGCGATTCCCTAAACCAATGTCTGAACCATAAAAAAGATATTTCTTCCTAAGTCCTGAAAGCAGACCCTAAGATTTTCCAAAATTATCCACCCATGTCACTACTATGTAGTGTCTGCTATAAAACACAAAAAGTTGACTTCTCTGTGAAGATGGGAGGGCTTGAAGAGCTCTGGAACCGAATCTATATATTAATGCTTAGGGAATTCTGGCTGAAAGAGAGGCACAAATCCTACTTCTCCAGACTGTAATGTATGTAATTGAAGTTTTTGCTCTGCATGGAGCATAGTTCATTTTAATTACAGATAAGGTGAATAATCTATGAGTGCTGAGGTTGTTCTGAATCGTGCATTGTTCTGCTTAACAGTTTTTCCATCACTGCTAGAACAACAATGCTTAAAAAAAGAATTCTGTTGGGAGTTGAGGAAACTCAGCATAACATTAGAAAAAGATAATTGAAAATATAATCAGCTGTCTACAGGAATAATAAATTCAAAGTTTCAATTCAAAGTGTCAAATTCAAAGTATAACATCAGTTCAATCTGAGTAAAAATGATGGATTCATCTACACATGGATAACAGTTTTAAGGATAGTATGATACCTGAAGCCCTTCTTCCTGCTGCTTTGTAAGCTTCCGTGCAACACATTCTAAAACTTTCTGGAAGACAGTCTGAACAGCACTGAGCACCTCTGCCACTTCATCCGGCTCAATATTCTGGGCCAAAGAAGCTTCAATAATCTCTTTAAGAGCACACAATAGTACTGGAATACAAAAGCCACCTCTCTCTAGAGAAGATAAATGACACAATATTAAAATTTTAATAAGATATTCTTCAGCTACAAGAACAGCAGCCGTTTACAAGTGTAGATGATATCACATCTAGCTTCTGAGGCTTGTAGCTGAAATTTTCATACAGTGTAATCAATATTCTAACAACTACTGTATACATGAAAAAATACAGTGGAGAACAGGGATTCAATTGGTGGATTTCTTCAGGAAAAGAGCTTTAATTCTGTCTATACTGTAGGAAAAATTTCCAAATGTGAACCAAATTTAAATAACTCTAAAATGTTATCTTTTAAAATACACCTAAAAACCAAACAAACAAACAAAAACACACCTCGAACTACAAGTAGCAATTGGCAGGTAAGAGCAAAGAAGAAACCCAGGTAATCAACAGTAGCATGGTTCTGGACTGATTCTCTGCTTGGTTTCAGATTTCTGAAAAAGCTGTCATAACTTTCAAACGTATTATAAAAACAAACCGAAACTGTAAACGCCATTTTTTAAGAAACATAATCCAAAAGGGTAAAAAGGCAACAATTCTCATGATGTACAAGAAATCAGTTAAGTATATACAGGGATGTTGAGATTAGCACAAAAAAAAAATTACCTGACTGCATTACCAAGAGTGCCATATCTAAAAGGTGAGCTTGAAACTTGAGATTTCCGAGGCCAACCATTATAACATCTTTACAGACTGTCAGATAGGCCTAGAAGAGAGATGTAAAAATTTATTGAAAAAAAAGAATTTCATAAAATTGCCCTTCAGTCATAATAAGTAAGAAAAAATAAAAAAATATGAAGTCAATGAAATAATTTAATTATCCTTTGTAATTATACCGGAGAAACATCCAGACATTTCATCTTCTGTTATTAATTTTCACGTCTATATTCCAGAAGTCTTAGCCCAAGTTATACACAAGAAATCCTACCCCACAGCACTTGAGCTTTTCTTTGATACCTAGTTCCACAGTCCAGCAGTTAAGCACATGTCTATTCTCTCCCAGAAGGCAGAAGCACCACGACTCCAGTGGACAAGTGCAGTTAGAAATACAAACAATGGAATCCTCTCCAATCTCCACCCATAACACATGGAACAGCCTAATCCCCTTACAGCTGTATGAAAGAAGCAACTGTAACTACTGTGTATTTTAAGGACAACATCTTGAGATGGACACAGTCTGCTCTTTGAATAACAGTTTTGTTACTAAATAGACACTCCAAACAATTAAAAGCACAACCAATGCCTCATTCCAAGAAAACAGAGCACACAGAAAGGTTAAAGAAAAAGAAATAGGAGCTGCATAACAAGCATGTGGCCTATTATTGAAGGATCAAGAGGCCTGGACTTCCAGATAAGCCATATCAGTCCTCGCACTTCAGTTTGAAGATGGGATTTAAGTTCCACTAATAAAACACACTCTGTTTTCCATTACTGGCCAGTCCAGCAAGATGTCAGATGTGTTTACTGGTGATAACTGCCTATGTTTTTTCTAGCAGCGAAGTATCATATTCATTTCATATTCCTCAGAGTTATCCTCTGTTGTGCTGTTCAGAGCAGTGACGGCAGCAGCAGTGATTCTAGGCACTCACTTCCAGGAGCTTCGCTACAGAACGGGGCTGACCTACCACTTCACTACATCCTGCGTTTTGGCAACTGATTTCTTTGCCTTTTCAGAACTGCATTGCTGTCACAATTTTAACTCAATGTGTTTTTCTTTGAATTGCATAAGCATTACCCCCATTTAATATGGGAAACTGAGGAGAAAAGCCACCTACCATGTGGGAGGCCCAGGTTAAACTGCATGCTAGAAACTGAGTGAGGATTCTCGCTTGAAAGTATAAAACATAAAACACTTCCTCACTTCAACTTTTCATATGGAAAAGACGTTATGCACTGCTGGGGGAAAACAATCTAGATAAAAACTAAGCATTGCTGGCTCCAATGACTTGATTTAATTGCTAGAGTAAGCACCATACACTGTAGTTTGGGCATTTTTCTAAAGCAATACATTCACGTAGTCATACATTCACAAAGTGTCATGTTTGGTGACACTTAAGCACAAAGTTTTACGATTTATAAAATGTAAGAGATATGACATAGCTAAAAGCTGTTAAAAGAGCTTGAGACTTTTTAAGCAATGATGCCAATAGCAAAACCAAAAAGCTATCCTCAGAACAATCAGCAGTGTTTCATTAGTTTCTTGACTTACTGGGTTCCAAATACTCCAGTGCAGTCTGAGTGCTGCACAATTGCTGCATTTACTACACGTAACATACGAATGGCAGCAGTAAAATTTAAGTAGTAAGAGATTGCTAACCTGGATAATCGACTCGGAAATACTACGGTGTTCTGAAATGCCATCCTCTTGACCACTTGTGAGTATAAAAGGTACAACTTGACTTCTTATCCAAGTACCTGTCTCCTCCAGATGCGAAAGATAATCTTGTCCTTCTTCAGAAAACTGGAAAAAAATATCAAATGCCTTTCCAATTATAGCTGAAATTGAAATTTCGTGTCAGCTATAGCTTTAGTTCGTACTGCAAAGGCATAACTATACCTTGTTCTGAAGATGAATACTCAATCTGCAATACAGGCTGAAAGCTCTTAGGCCAGTTGCTTGACTGCAGCTACCAGCACTTGTATCAGTTGTTTTCAGAATTGAGCCAAGAACTTTCTGTAATATTAATATTAAGTGTTTTCAGAAAATACTTTCTAACAATTCTTATCTATTCCCGTAAATTGAAAACAAAATTTTTTTTTTAAAAAAAATAAACACCCTTTCCCAGATACAGACATATTTTCAAGTACTTTTGCTTTGCAATGCCAAAACCAACAGAATCACCAGATATTTGAGGTTGTGAGAGAGCTCCGCAGAACGCCCAGTCCGAGGCCCCTGCTTAAGCAGGTCAGCCCAGGACCACATCCAGACTGGAGTGGCCACATCCAGACTGGCTTTCAGTATCTCCAAGCCTGGAGTGTCCACAAACTCTTTGGACAACTTCATCCAGTGTTCAACAACTTGCCGAGTGAAGAAGTGTTTTTCTATGACACATTAAGGAAGCCTGACTTTCACACTCATACATATGCTGAAAGTCAGACCTCTTAAAGCTCACAAAATCTCGAGACACTTAAAAATGATAAACATATTAAAATCTGATAGCTGCCAACAATATGAATTAGTATAATTCTATTTTAGAATATGTTTCTTAAATATAGATGAAAAGAAAAAGTTGGTCTTGCCTTCAAGTAGCCCAGTTTTCTGTATGAAAATTATTACAAATTAACTTTGGATCCTTGCAGACCTTTAGTTTGAGTCAGGCAACACGGAGTGTTAGGCACGCTTTTGTGAGCACTATTTATAGTAAGGACAACACTACCTTTGCAGCACTGAGAAGTCTCAACAGCTGGTTCAGTTTCTTTTTAGGAAGAGCAAGCAGGCAACCTCGATTAACAGGATGAGTCAATAAATATTCAATGTAATCAAGCGCTAATTCTGGCTTCGATTCCTGAGCTACGTGGATGCGCACTCGTCGTTTGGGTGTTTTAGTGTTCTAAATAAGAGGGAAGAACAGAATCAGTATCACACTGCTAATGTGTTTAATTACAAATCAAAAGAGAATAAGGTAGTATTAAAAAAAAGCTCCTTCTAAAAAGCAAAATAAAGGTATGATGCATTCCTGAAACCTAACAACAAAATTCATTGACTTATGCTCACCTTTCTTGAAGTTAGCACATCAGACAACCAGTCACAAGCCAACTCCAAAACATGTCCCACTTGACCCCAGCGACACATGCAGTCTATCAGGGTGGAATATTTGCTTTCACCAGCTCCATTGTCCAGATGTCTGAGTTTTGAAATCACACTACAGCTTTAAAATAAATCAGTAAAAAAAGATATATATGTATATATCCAGTAGTGCAGAAAAGATTCAAACACCAAATAAACTTATTAGTTTATTTAAACTTATTATTGCAATAACACTTGCAAATGGTTTCAAGCACATTTGCAGCTTAGAGGTCTTACTGTAAGATGTATTTAGAAGATTAATTCATCCATCAGGATATTTTATTTTATGCATTAATAGAACAGAAAACGAATAATCAAATAACAAAAGATTTATTTTCACTGATGTTTTGATTTAAAGTAAATGAATAAATAAATAGTACCTGAATGTAGGAATCGCAGCAGGCGGCATAAAGGATGCCAGGATAATCAATGGAATGACACAACGATCGTCCTGGGATAAAAACTTTTGCTTTATGATGTGCATGTGCAAACACATACACACATACATGCAAGTTTAACAAGTACTGAAAAAAGTATTATTATACTATCTCAAATTTAAGGATTTACCTTTTTTCCCCTCCCATTAGAAACAACTACCATGAATAATTAATGGTTCCATTACATTAAGAACCTTCGTAAAAGAAATAATTGTTCCAGTTTACATATGTCTCAATAGTGGCTAACAATGGCACAAACATGACACCATCTAACTACTTTGTAAGTAACTGGTGTCTTAAATTAATATCCATTCTACTATGAAATATATCAAAAAAAAAAAAAAAAAGAGAGAGAGAGAGACTCTGAAGAGGAGCTTGGATAACAGTGGCAATGTAAAAATGCACTAGAAGCTGTTAAAACATATCATAGTAGAAGGTATAGACCATCAGAGTCTCACCAGGACTATATAGAAGCCAATCCATGGGAAAGACTCTTTGGAAACAATCTCTCTGTATCTGTATCCATGAATACATTCAAATAAAATTACCACCTATTTGGATATTTGAAGTACTAAGACTTCTCAAGATGATTTTAAAAAAACAAAAACCAAAAAACACTAAGTAACTTTTCAGAGAAGGGTTCTTCTGGCTCAATTTTAGGAACCAAGTCTCTGACGACAGAGATGAAACTCTATTACCTTCAGTGACCAATCTCTGATATTCTCACAGAGAGTATCTCATCTGGTCAAGAAACCCATCAGAAGAAAAGTTACTTTCTCTATTCAAAATGCTTTGGCATGACTTTCACCATTTGAAAATGCTTTAGGGTATATCCAAGCTGCAGAATATAGCACTGAACTGCTTCTACTACTATATTAAACTAAAACTAGCTTGAAATATTTTGTAATCAACAGCCAGCATAATTCAAGCTTCATTGTAAAAGCCAGAACAAAGAAAGACCTCCACTAAAAATCCTTCCAAATGCACTTATTACACACTGTAGCAGAAACTACTAGTCACAGGAAAAACACAACACCTTGATAAATAACACTGGGACAGTTAAACAGATCAAGGAGACTAAAATTATGAAAGGAACTGATATTAACTAACTGCATGGATCAAATGCAAGCAATAAACAAGTGCACCAAGCAGTATTAGAAAAGAGCAACAAATCAACAAATTAATCACAAATAACTGAAAAAGAAGCATCAGCTTCTTCAGCTGTCACAGCAGCTGAACAGAAACTGGATCATAACGACAAGAAACTGTAATGACGAAGAAGAAATCATGTGGACTCTCATCTAAAAAAATCATATTATTTTATTCTGTAATGGCATATTTTCAGTTACTGATTTCCAAAGGGTTCCAAAACATTCCAGAGGTTGGATTCCTTTGAAGACACTACAAGAAGAGCTACTTGTTGCATTAAAAAGTCTGTGTGGACTATCTAAATAATGGTTGATCAGTCAGACTTGGGAATTAGAGAAGGGTTTTTACCCATTGTGGAATTTCAAAATCTTGCCGTTGCTTATGGATCATGGTAATGACAAAAAACAAGAAAGAACACTTAATCCCATGAAAATATGGGATATAAACACCTAAAAAGAAAAAAAAACATAGAAAGAACATGAAGCCATTACAGGAATATTTAAGTTTAAATCTATGTTTTCTTTACCTTAAATACTTTAAAATATTCAGGAAGTACAGAAGCAAATTTTCTGATGGCATATTCTTTGGCATCTTCATTGTGATCTAGTGACTTGCGAATACTTCTCCAAAGAATTACAATGATCTCCAACAAACTTGCCATGGAGCTCATGTCATTTATTGACAACACACTATTCAACGTCTGAAATGCAAACAGATGATATTACCATTTATATTTTAAAATATAAATGTAGGTTATAATAAGGTTTAAAAGGAGGAAAATCCATGTATTGCAAAATGCTGTTGGCTTTGTTGCAGAACACACTTATTTATTCTTAATGCATATACAGCTCTGGTGATTTTGCTACTTTTTTTTTTTTTTGTATATACTTGATTTCAAAGCCAAATAAATTTATAACAAGCACTGGAATTGGAAAAATGCTCATCATTCACATTCCTTCTTGCTTATTCAAGCTACTTCACCAAATTACTGTCATGCCAGAGCATGGAAACACCATGATGGTGGTTTTCCCCTTTGAAATCCAGGGATGCACACGTGCTTTCCTTCTGACTTTTGGCTTATCATTAACAGCTACCTCTCAAAATCTGTGTAATAGAAATTACTAGAACTTATCATAAAGTAAACTTGCTTACACCTATGTTCTCCTTTTCCTTTTCAGCATCATCATCATCATCATCATCATCTACATCATCATTACGAAAACTCTCTTTTGCTGCCTTCTGGATGCAGGCATTCAAGCAGCGCCGAATAGTTAGCATCAATTTAGCTACAAATAAATATAAGAAGAATTAATTAGATATTTACTATTTATTCGGAATGTTATTAGTAATTACTGCTACATGTAATGCCATACTGTCATTCTGAAAGTTGGGCAACAGAGCCAGGCATAGCCAGCAAAGACGACACCCAATTTATTGGTAAAATATATGGAAAATGATTTATTTACTTAGATATCAAGTGGAAATGGTTCTTTCTGTAACTTCATTGTTAAGAAAGTCTGCAAATTAAAAAAAAAATAGCAACAGTAATAAAGGCTCACATGCAAACTGGGCTCAGAGGAACTTCCCACATTCATTGGACATAGCTATTTAATGAACAATATTCAAAACACATCTCCTCAGATGTAAATCCCAATTATTTAATGAAAGATGCAGAAGCCTAACCACTGCATTCCTTAATGAGGAACTCTCCTTGGATAAATGTGAAAGGGTTGCCACCTCTACTGAAAAAATGACTGGCTGAAATACATTAGCACATGTTATTGCAAAACTACCTACCACAAGTGAGGATTGGAAAAGAGGCAACAGCTTGAACTTTGTACCTAAGTATCCCATGCAAATTATTTATGGTATTGAGACTCATTGGAAATAAAAATGCCCAGTTTACTTGGCAAAACAACACCCATTTCCAAAAGGTGATTATACTGTCTGCGGTACAGAGTGTGGTCACTTTTAATGGGAAAGAGGATTTTTTAGATCTTCTCTGAGCAAGCCTAAAATATTATCAATCCCCGACAATCTGATTATTAGAAACAAATATTTTCACTTATTGTAGAAGCTTCCACAGAAAGATCTCAAATTGCTTTAGACACCAGCATATCTTATTTCACTATTTTTGCAAGATAAATATTGGCTTAGACAGCTTTAAGGTGAGAGAAGAAAGGGAGACCAAACAAGCACATAGGCTAGTGAATGTAGTACTGAATCTAAGAATCATTTTTGCTTTCTTCATTGTTGAGAAAGCTCAGAACTGAAGCCACCAGGATTTATTGCAGGTGTCGAGAATGTCAAGAACCATGAACTAATCACATACTAGCGAAAATCTAGCAACAATGTCCTCTTGCAAACACTGTTGGTGAAAACCTTTAGAAATCAATCATGTGGTGTGAAAATGGTATTTCCAGAGCCTGCTAATGTTTTGTACTTTACCTATATTGGTGGGGGCAGTATACTCATAAGCATATTGATAGAATTTTCTAGCTGCTGCCGAATTCATCTGGATAAGAGTAACGCAGCGCTCACACCACACATCCTCAGGCTGGTTAACAGGGAAGAAGGAGTTGAACAGGAGATTCGCGATGCGCCGCGACACAGACCGTGAATCAACTTCAAGACGAGACAGGAGATGCTCCATGGGACAGATTTTCCAGAACTTTTTAAAGGGAGAAGAAATTAAGGAAATTATGAGGGGGGGGGAATTAAAAAAAAAAAAAAAAGAAAAAAAAAAGAGGAATTAACATTATTAATTGTGTTTTAACACTTTTCTGCATCAAAATAAAATAATATCTACCAGAATAGCATAAGCATTTCTATAGCCTTAAGCTTCTTTGTATTTTAGTATACATAATAATAATACTATAATCACATCTGCAGCAGCAAACTGCAGTCAACCTTTTTCTAATGTAATCACAAATGATGAAGAGGTAATCTTTGGTGCAAGAAAAATTGCAGTGCCTGTGAAACTACAGATTAATGCTGAAATGGTTATTAAAAAGCAGAAGAAAAATATAAAAATGACATGTAATATCATTAAGAGTTTGAGGAGTATCTTTCTAAATAAATAGCAATACAAGAACAATATAAATCATGGCAAGACCTCTAAGCTCTAAACTTCCAGGGCAGCTATCAAATAATACATCTTCTATCAATTAATACAGGGCCACAATCTAAAATATGAGCAGCAGGTTGAGTGCCCCAGCGCTCCTTCTGCCATTCCACTGATGTTTTGGCAATAGAGGAACACCTGGTTTTAGAATCTCCTGAAATGGAAACTTCAGACAGAAGCTTTCTTCCAGAGAAGTGCCACATATCCATATTTCTGCACCCTTCCTCTGGGTTACTATAGTATTCAATGATTTATTTTAAGAAAAGATTCATTTTTATTTTATAACTGTTCCTTTCCCTAAATTACCTTTAAATTGCCATCTGTTGTTACTATCAATTGAAATTTTTCTCTATCTAAATAGGATTCTTAAGAGAAGGAAAGATCTTTATCAGACTTATGAAAAACCCGAAAAGCGCAAAAAAACTGAGAGGCCCCTGTCATTTCATAGTTGATCTGTGGAGACCAACACCAAATAAACCCAAAGAGAGCTAGTGGAAAGATTTTCCTTAAGGTGTAGTCAATATTCTAGAAAGCAGGCACATCAGTTGGTCCATCCTGGCAAGTAAATTTACACATTTTTCCCATTCTTTCAAACTGGTGCCTAACAAGCTCTCTATAAAGCTGAAGAGGCATCAGAAGCAAATGCTGTGAGATGAAAGACACTTCTGTTGGGCTAATAGGGCTTCCTTGCACCTTGACAGAAAGATCTGGAAGTAAGAGGCACATCACACATTTCTTCTAAGAGAAAGTAAGGTGGTTCCAAAATGAGTAGGGCTTCAGCCATGTTAGGTCAAGAAGGATCACTAAGGAGGTGTATTGCCTCATGCCATCAAAAACCTCAGAGGAAAGAAAAGGCAAAGGGATAAATCAAAGATCCCCAACCATGGCAAAAGCACTGTTTCTCACAATGGGCATGGGGAAAAAAAATTAAAAAAAGAAAGAGAGAGCTGCCTGGAAAACATCCAACATTTTGCATTAAATTATTTTAATGTAGGTGAAATGGATATATTTGGTAAGCAGGTAACTCTTGTGTTAGGGATAGCTATATTCTTTGGGCACTGCAGGCTTAAAACTCTGCCAAGTGAAGCATTTGTTCAAAGCTTAACTCCCCCCTAAACAACAGATGCACTATATGAAGTCACAGGTATGTATGTGCCTAGCACATGTCCTGAAAAAGCAGGCTTAGCAAAATACAAAACCAGGACTGAAAATATAAAAGTGAAACCAGTAAACCACTGATAACTCTGAATAGGAGAAGCCAACACTATAATGCCCTTGGGCTGGATAGCATCTCCCTAACTAAGACAGAAATACAGAAAGTTTTTTAAAATAGATTAAAGATACTATAAAAAAAACCAAATAAATAAAAAACACCCTCCACCTACATACCTACAAAAGACAAACAGTAAAAATAACGAAAGTCCATGAAGATGTTAGAAGAAGAGTATTTATCTTGATTAGAAAGTAAACTTTCCAGCTACTCTATAAAAATCTCTTCCTTAATAATATCCGTTTTTTTCCTACAGGTAACTCCTTTGAGAAATATAGAGGGGCTGCAGGCTGACCATGATACTGGGATCAATCAATTTATAAATATTCTCTGTGAACACCATAATTTCAGTAGAACTTATGGAATCAATAAAAAAGTGCTTTCAGGTTTCTACCCATCTTTGCAAGAACTTCCCTGCTCCTCCTCCCCGCTAAAAAAAAGAAGCCTTGAAATGGAGAGAAATGACCAACAGAGCATTTCACAAGCCTTAAGAATAAAGCATCAATTAAATGCTTAAATATATAAAAAGGGTAAGTCTGACATTAAAATTATGCCTACATTATTATGACATATTATTGTGACTACATTAAACATGTATTTTTTTTTTCTTCTCAGGATTACTGCAGCAGTCAAACATGCACATTTTTAAAATAAATACTGTGGTTTTAATCTTGTTTGTTACCTATTGTGTCATTTATCCTACCTTAGCTGCTTTGGTAGCCTTAACTTTCAGCAGCATATCCACAAAAGCCACTCGCACTTTCTCAGAATTGTCATGGAGACTGTGTTTGGCTGCTGGCAGGAGTTGCTCCAGTAATGGGTGACTTAGTTTGTTGTCCAAAATTATTGGCAGACACTGCAAGAAAAATAAATGCTAAATAAAAAAATCCAAAGAGCAATTTACAAAAAGATCCAACTAAAATTGTTGAACTGGATCTTGAAACTTCTGGGGTTAAATCAAGAAGGGGCAGTAGGGAATGGCTTTCACTGAACCCTCAGAAAGAGTGGGGTGCAAAATCAGGAGGTAAACCTGCATATCAAGGCATGATTTGAAACCAGTGAAATAGAAACATATTGGCACCCATCTGCACACATTTTCAAATGTGAGCATAATTTCTAATAGATAAAATGATTAAATTATCAACAACTTAAATTTATCAGCAAACAAGTATGGGAATGGAAATTCAAAGTGAGTGGGAATCACAAAATAGAACAATCACCCTTGTGAAGGGCATTAGTTCATATATATATATATATATATATAATTTATAGGAATTTTATTGCATCAGTAATTTGGCAGATTAAGTCATTCCCTTAACTTAGTCAAGTAAAGTGCAAAAAAAGACAGCCATAATTTTAAATTTACAGAAAAGATTTACTTTAAAAACAGAGCAGCGAACATCAGCAGATGTTACATCATACGCCAGCTCTCCAATTAGTTTTTTTAAAAGCTCTGCAAGAATTGTTGCAGAAATCATCTCCCAGTATTTGGATGTTATCTGACTAACTCCAAGTATCCCTGTAGAGCGGACAACTGGATGAGGATCGTCTAAGAGGTTCTAAAACAAACAAAAGAAAAAAATGTGAGTATATTATTGTGACTTCACCACTATTTAACAATTGACTTCACCACTATTTAACAATAAACTATCATGGGCAAATGCTACCATTACCTTTTAAGCATTATGTAAATTGTCATATGATGAAAGAAGTATAATACTAATATTTCCCCAAGCTATTTTACTATGGAGCAAACTGTAAGTTTCAAAAGAAAATATTGTCCAATATTTTTGGTATTTTTGGAATCTCAACTTTTAAGATATATTTAAAAAAAAGAAAAGAAAAAGAAAACATACAAAGAAAACCCCACACCTTACAGTAAGTCTTGTATCCATGTGTATTTTTAGACTTCTATTCACATGCAAATTTGCACTGGCCACAGTTTACATAAATAATATAAAAAAGAAACTTATTAATATATTTATTAGCATATTTATTTATAAAGACCATTTTGAGGATTTCTACAAATTCTTCTTAAAAATAGATTATGCCTATTCTCATCCATATAGCCTGGGAAAGATTTAGATTCTTATTATCATTATACATCACTTCAGAAATATGTAGTAATAGAGCATTAAAAGTGCCTTGAATGCTTATAGATTGAATGCAAAGTTCTCTTCACCAAGCCTAGGTAAATGAGGATCATGATTCATAGTTCATGACATCTAGCCTTTTGGAAGAGCCCTTCATTCACAACTAATAAATAATAGTCCCAAATATTTCATTTTCAGAGGCAAAAATGGTGCAGTGTCATGTGGTGATAACATTTTTAGCACTAAATTAATCTAAAATATGTCTCCTTTCGTATTTTCCGTATTCCATATCTGCATTTCCCTATACACGCTACACAAACTCCACAACTTCTTTAACTGCAACAACAGCTTCTTTTGCACTTAGCCTTGCTAAAAGTTTCATTTTTAATACATTCATTAAAACTTACGAAGAGTTCTTCAAATTGTCTCTGAACTTCATTGTCCATCTCCTCAACGTTAAAACGGGGATCACGAACAGGAAAAGCGTCAACAAACAGAAACGCTGCATTCGAGCGAACTCCCGAGTTCCTGGCCTGTCATAATGGCAGGAAAAAGACAGTTTTCACTGAGCAGAGATTTTTATTATCAAAAGGCCCATCTGGCAAATAATGCTTTCAAACACTTCTGGTAGTATTTCTAGTAAGTTTTGGGCTTGGAAAGCCTAATAAGTTTAGAAATCCATGTGTTTTGAAACCTAATTCTACCAGTGACCTAGGTTGTACTCAATGGGCAGGAACTTAAGGCAAAAAAAAAAAATCCTATGTTAATGTATAACATTTGTAATATTTACTGTAACATACTGTAATATTTGTAAAGTCTTATTTTTTAATCAAAGATCCTGAAATCACAGTCAGAGAACTATTGCCTTTTGTAACTCTGAGCAAGTTAAAAGCAGTTAATCACCATACATACATACTTCGGCATTAATCACTAAAGCTCGCCTTCAAGATACAGAATCTTGAATTCAAGCAAAGCTTTCACTGATAAATTCTTTGTCTATATCTGAATCTATGTGAAGAGTTCAAGCCTACTTTTTCAAGAAAACTGTATTTTAGACTAGGTACCAGTAAGCCCAGAAAATAACTTATCTAAAAAACATTCAGTTGTGCATCTATGCACATGAATAATTGGACTGTCTTTTGAGCTCTAGGCAGCTTTCCAAATATCAAAATAAGCCTCAAAACCCCCAGACACTAGATCATTTGTAACAGCTTTCAATGCACTACACTATCCATTTTTCTGGCTGTGGAGCCCCAGATGTAAGAAAAAAAAGTGTATTTAGACACTCAGTAGCGAAAAGTAATTGGCCCACCACAATATGGGACAGAAAACAGATAGCAGGTAAAGAGATTAAGAAAAATATTTTTTTAAAAAAATAAATTTAAGTCATCTGGGAAGAAAGCTGAAATCTAACCACATGACCACCTTATATTTATGGAAGACTGCAGCAGTGCTATGAAGAGAGCCTGGCTCACTTGGAAAGGAAGGGAAGGGAAACTCACTTGAAAGGAAGGGGGAGGAAAAATTCCATAGAGATTTTGGGTCTAAGGTGAAATTAAAAACAAAAAAGTGTGTGTGTACGTGTGTTTCTTTCTTTTTAGACTATGTACAAATATATACACACTACACTTTGTATATAAATACGAGACTAGTACCATATATGTATAAAAAGAGCCACACACACTAAATAAGAGTAATGCAAATGTGGGTAACGACAAAGTAATAGGTGGTTCAAAAAACCTTCTGATTATTCCAAATCTTTTTCTTTCCATGTCAAAGGAGTCATTCTGATCAAAGTTGGGGAAAAAAAAAAAAAAAGAAAAAGAAAACACGCTGATAACCAGGAATTTTTAGAACTAAAGAAACAAAGAGCACATAAAAACACAAAACAAATGAGGAACAACTACTTCAGTTACAGTTTGTTGGGTATGTTCCTTCTGCCCTGGATCCCCACACGGAGTACCATCTTTGGGTAGAATGAAAAAAATATATCACAATTTTTCTACTCAACAAATTTAATAGCAATTCTAAATTTAACATTACATAGGTAAGTAAAGTTCAGCTACTTATTCGTTAGTTAGGGATTTTTGAATTTTACTTATCTGTCATGGATAATGCAAACAGTTAAAAATGTGGAGGTTATGAATCTTAATTATGTCCCATAAAAATGAAGAAAAACTTTTAACTTGGGGCTTGCCCACATTGTAGAGCAATAATAATAATGCAAAGAAAACAAGAGGGATATAGCTCTTTTGCACTGGTGTTTCCTGTGAAAAATAATACTTTTAAAGCATGCTTTTGTGCAATAACCTAGACCTTGTCTACCAGGGCCATTTCAGAAATTTATTTTTGATAAACTTTATAAGCATTAAATTGAATTCCCTTAAGCTCATTTTAATTCCGAATCATGTACCCATATTTTAAATTTCTACCTTTAATTAATTAGAATTTAGCTCCAATGTTTTTGCATATTCAGGCTTTTATTACAGAATAAGTGTCCTCAGAGTTAGAATCAAATTCCATTAGGACTTTAGATTCATATTCTATTTTATTCCACACTAAATTGCACACAGAAAAGGAGCCTTTGGCTATTTAAATGGATAATGACTCTTTAGCTTTATGTTTGTCTATCTTGTAGATTTTTCAGAACTTTTTTTTTTAATACTTTTTTTTTTTCCGTTCATTTTCGGAGCTTTAAATTCCACCAGACCTCACAATACTGAAATTAACTTCAAATTCACTGAAATACTAATTTCCTGAAAAAAAAAAAAAGTTGCTTTGAAGTCTTTAAGGACTTCATCTTTATCAACAGATAAACCATATTTTAAATGTTATAGCTTCTTACATTAATAACCAATCGCTGCATCAACTGTCTCCACTGTGCTTGTACATAAGATGCGCTTTCCATAATAAAGACATACGCAAAGCTAAACAATTTATGTAAGGGCTAATATTGTAATGGCTTATAAAGTCATATTAATGCTTATAAAATATTTTAAGTGGAAGTCACAAAGTCACAGGCTTATGCAACATAAAATATTTGCCAAATGAGCAGTTTATGAAGAAAGAGATATAAGTAGTTTCAAAACTGACCATCATACAATTTCTTTATTCTTATAACCTGGACCCTGGACAATCGGGCAGTGAGAAACCTCATGCAATTCAACAAGGCCAAGTGCAAGGTCCTGCACCTGGGGAGGAATAACCCCAGA